TCTGTATATATGGAACACAAGAACACAAGGCTTCATGCATGAGAAGCAAATACTCTACAATTAAACCACATTCCCAGACCTTTTCTCTTTTTTTGAAATATGGGTGCCAGAAGCTAACCCGTGAAATGCTAGCTAACCAGTGGGTTAAGCCCTGAGGATCCAGGACACACTTAACTCTAATAAACAACTCAGAAAATGCAAGACGTGCAGCTGCACCTCAACTTTTGGAGACTAGCCTTTGTTGTGAATACAACGAAGTTCAAAGCCCCACATGGGTTAAAAAAAAAGTTAATTTTTTTATGGTTATTATGAAAGTGAGGTACACAGGGATTAGAGTTAAGTAAGTCAACTAAAGAGGACTTTTTTATTTTTTAAATTTTCATTATTATCAAAAAGGTGACACACAGAGGTAATAGTTACATAAGAGTGTGTTTCTAGTTAGAAAATCTCCTTTCCCCCTGATGCTCCCCCAGTTATTCCTTCCTGTCCCCACCCACTAGTTGCATACATCATTTGGAACAAAGTGTCTACCTAATACCACTGCAACATTTAAAACAAAATTTCTTAAATCTTCATTCACTGCTGAAATGTTTATCTACAAGAATATATTCAAGACTAATTGGTAGAGTGCTTGCCTAGCATGTATGAAGCCCTGAGTTCCATTACTCACTACCACATAAACAAACAAACAAAAAAAACAGCCACCAACCAGGACACATGAAGTACTCAAGTGATTGAATGCTAGCTTTCAGCAAAGGAAATCCTGGGACAATGCCCAAGCACTGAGGTCAATCTCCAGGATTGGGGGAAAAAAAAAAATACACCTTCAGACTGATATACGTATATATGCATGTAGAGATAACACTACCAGGTATTTAACCTGGCACCAGTGGCTGGAGCCTGTTTTCATAGCTACTCAAGAGGCTGAGATCTGCTGTCATGGAACAAAGCCAGCCCCAACAACAAAGTCCCTAGGACTCATCTCCAATAAACCACTAGAAAACCGGAAGTGGCCCTGTGGCTCAATGGTACAGGGCTCACATTGAGCTCAAGAGCGAAGGGACAGAGCACAAAGCCAAGGGTATAAGCAGCATGACTGACCAAAAAAAATCAACAAAGGAACACTAGATATGTGAATATACATATATATATATATGCACATATATATACTTTATATGGATAAAGTTGAAACATGAACCCAAGTAAGGAGCCATTAGGAGAAAAGGGCAATGGAGAAGGAAAAGAAGGAAAAAAGAATAATTTTCATACACAGTGAGTACATATGAACACAGCATAAATAACCACAAAGAAAGCTGTTGGTCAACAGAGAAATGAAGGCACAGGAAAACAGAAATACACTATTGGGGGTGTGGATACTAGCACAGTGGGGTTGGGCTAAAAACG